GCCCCGGGACAGGCCTGGGGCTGGGGCTGTTCCCCTGTGGCGGGTCCAGACCGTGTTCACAGCCCGGGAGGCACAGGCCCCCGACTCAGGTGCCTGTGTCCCCTCTCTGTAAAATGGGGGTGAAGACAGTGGCCCCCCATAAGGCAGCCGTGAGGGGTAAATGAAGGAGTATGTGCCAGGTGTCAGTGGCTGGAGGGGCCACACTGAAGGGACCCCGCTCTCCAGCCAGAAGCCGGGTGACTGTGGGCCAGTCCGCTAACCTGGACTGGCCTTCCCTTCTCTGGACATCCCTTCCCTTCTCTGTACATGGAGATCATCACCGCCCCACCTGGGTGTTGTTGCAAAGATTAAAGCAAAGAACACAGGGAGAGCTCTTAGAATGGGGTGTGGCACAGCGAAGCCCTACAAGAAAGACCCATTTCCACTCAGGGCCGGACATGCCCTAGAGCAGCGACGGCTGTAACAGCGGAGGCCACGCGCGCCCCACCCTGTACACCCCGGTCATCTCTCCCATATGGAGGTGGGAGATGGGGTCCCGCTGCATGGCCGGGGTGGCCCCGGGCTGGGCCTCTGGCTGGAAGTCAGCACAAAGGGCCTGCATAAAAGGCTTTCCCGGGCCGGGCTGGGCTCAGGGTCCACGGCTGGCCCGCAGGGCTCCCTGGAGAAGGTGCTCTCTCTCCTCTTCTCCCAGGAGGCCTGACCAGCAGCCTCTGTGGCCTGGACTGGGGAAAGTAAGGGGCATTCTGTGTGGCTGCAAATCTTGCACCAGGCCTGTGGGCACTGGAGCCAGGCTGCTGCTGAGTGTCCCTGCGCTCTGGTCTGCCAGCCTAGCACCCTCGTGCTGATGGGCAGGGCCTAGGGCAAGCTGGCACTTCCCGTCCCCCCTCCCTCAGCAGTGTGTGAGGGCAGGAGATGACATTCAAAGTCCCAGGGAGCAACCTGCTGGGAATTCCCCCCACGTCCAGAGGACAAGGGCAAGGCTGTCCTACACCCACCTGGGTGCAAAATCCAGAACAGTCTGATACCTGTGGCAGGTGCTCACCAGGCACAGACTCCCTCATCCTGACTCGGGGCAGTGGGGGGAGGGGGGAGGGGGTGTACAGCCAGGCCTTTGGGGATTCTGACTCCTATGACCTATTTAGAATATTGCTGGTGGCCCACATAGGGGAAGGTGTGAGACCTGGTGTAACAGCCGTGTGGCTAAAGCACCCCCGATCCAAGGAAACATTTCCTGAGAACCTACTATGTGCCAGTCTGTGCACACAGGCGGAGACTAAATTATCCTATTTGCTACTCAGAGCAACCCAGGAAGTAAGGGCCACCCACCCCCTCCTGTGGATGAGGAACAGAAGTTTAGGGAGGTGCCTGAGGTGGTTTAGGGAGGTGTCTAAGTCAGCGGAAGCCAGAACCGAACCAGCAGCCCTGGGCCCCAGAGCTCCCAGCCTGACTGACCACACAGGAGAGCTGTGCCTGCTGGTCCCGATTTCCCCTGACACCCAGCCTGCAGAGAGGCTGGCTCCAGGCTGCCCGAAGGACCACTGTCCTGTCTTCATCACCCCATCACCCCTTTTCTTTCCCCAGTTCCTTCCTGAGCCCAGCCTAGGAGAGCGATCAGGAAACTACAAGGAGAGATGAGCTGAAAAAAAGAGGGGGGTGGGCAGGTGGGTGAGGGGGGAGGTGAGGGATGGGTGAGCAAGAGGCTGAGGGGGCAGGTGAGCAGG